TATATATATACTTTTTTTTTGCTTCTAAAAAGCTGCTTCTGCTTCTATTCAAAAACATTTTTTCCTTCTAAGAATTTGGTCAAACACTTTGTAGGCGTTTGGCCATAAGTTTTGGAAGTTTTTTTTCAATTTGTTTTCTTTCAAATATGTGTTTTTTTTTATAGAATTAATCTACTTTTTGGAAGATTTTGAAAATCAAAACTTCAAATCCCAAATATAACTTAAGACCTTTTTTTAGGCCAAATCATGATCATTTCGGACTTTTTAGCTAAAAAAAAAAAGAGAGAGAAAAAAAGTACTTTTTAACATATCAAAACTTGCCACAAAATTCATGTTCAAACACATTTTCAGTTTCAAATCGAACTTCACCCAAATCAGTTTTTTCAAAAAATAATTGAGAATCTATGTCCAAACATGTCCTTTAACTTTAAAAATAGCACTTTTGGCCAAAAAGAAACTTAGTCAAATACGCTATTATTGCAACTTACCGAATTTTAATCAGTTATATTAATAAAACTAAGTTGGAGAAAGAAAAATAAAGAGAAACACAAGAGAACTTTATTTTTTTGTATTATTTTTGTTCATTTTAATCTTAATTATTTTTATTTTTTTAATTGTGACAGAGGCAAGGGTTTGTATTGGATTTAGCAAAACATACAAGGGACCATGTACAGAGAAGGTAGACGCTGGAAAATGTACAGATGCATGCAAAAAAGAGGGTTTTGTATTCGGACAATGTACTAGCTTTAGCCACAAAGGCCAATGTTATTGTGAAAGGCCATGCCCTCCCAATTAATTAATATCTCCCTTAATTAATAAAAAAAAATTCTTATTACGTTAAAATTATGTAATTCTTTATGAGGCATAATTAAAAAATTAGCCTCTAATCTAATGTATCCTTTGATGATCAATTATAGAATGGTAGTATTTGGGAGCTTATTAATACTAATATATCCTTTCTCCATATTAATATTGTTATTATTATTTTAGTATTATCTGATTCTTCAACTTTATTGTTATTACTTTTTTTTTTACTTTGATTATTTTTACTATTTTTTTCTATTAATATCTTTCTTTTCTTCATATTTCATAATAGCCTTGTTTTACTATTTTTTATATTTGTTTTTGAAAACGCTTTTCTTGAGCCGAGGACTATTGAAAACAACCTCTCTATCTCACACAAGGTAGGGATAAGGTGTGCATTGCGTGCTCATATTCACTTTTGGAGTCACTCGCCTTTAAATCACTTTTCGCCTAGGTAAATAAGTAAAAATTAGAAAAACATGAGAAAATAACTTGTAAATTTTCTATATATAAATAGCCCTTAAATCACAAAGTCCATGATAAGAAGCATACGAACAATATATTATCAATTGATCTAAAAAGAACTTACTCTATCGTGTCCGGCAATTTATTTTGTATCCTGATGTATCCCTTGATGATCAAGTATAGAATAGTATTTGGTAACTTTTTTTTTATCAGTATTACATTTTTATGGGTCCATCCTCGAGCACTGACGGACAGAGGGTTTGTAACTCCATGGATAATGGGTCCGACCACTACCATTCTTCATTTAAATATTGTATTTTCTATATATGGCAGATTTCAAATTCATGACATGCGTCTAACCAACACATCACAAGCTCTTACAGATATGCATTTTGTCCTCGAACATTTCAATTCACCTAATTTCAACAACAAGCTCTTACAGATATGCATTTTGTCCTCGAACATTTCAATTCACCTAATTTCAACAACAACAACGCAGTATAATCCCACTTAGTGGGGTCTGGGGAGGGTAGTGTGTACGCAGACCTTATCCCTACTCTGGGATAGAGAGGTAGTGTGTACGCAGACCTTATCCCTACTCTGGGATAGAGAGGTTGTTTCCAAATAGACCCCCGGCATCATTCCCTCCAAGAACTCCCCACCTTGCTCTTGGGGAGACTCGAACTCACAACCTCTTGGTTGGAAGTGGGGGTTGCTTACCATCAGAGCAACCCCTCTTGTCAACATTTATTCAAATTTGGGATTAAGAAAGACAATGCAGGCCTTCAGAAATTATAATAACAATATATACATGGCGCACGTTCATTTCTAAGATTAGCATAAGTTTCAACACCCCATTGATATAAGATCAATCGTTCAACTAAGACATAAATTTTAAACCTGTTCGAGTCAGCTATATGAATTCTCTATATTCAGTCACTCAATCTGAAGTACTCCTGAGTTTAGACGAACCCAGTACCTTCATGCTGCATCTGTCCCTCGCTCTCATCCACAACTTCACAGGTCGAACCATATTTTTCATTAACCAATCCTCAGACCTGTGCACTTCTAAACCTCGTCTTTTTATCGCGTGGTTTTCTCTTTGCATGTTTCAAATATGCGCCTTTATAGGCATAGGAGGTAGCCTAGCTGTTGAATAAATGGCTCTAGCAATTATAATCGTCACGAGAGAATATGGTACTTGACTAGGGTTATATTCTTTTTAGGGTTGCATGAGACGATGTTGTTTTGGTCCAAGAAATTAAAGTGGTGAAGCCAGTGGCGAAATAATATGGTAAATTTTGGCGTCATTGCAGAAGAGGATAAGACGTGGGTTAAGAAGGTGGCTATAGCTATGAGTTTTGGTGGGTTGTGGTGGTGGAGTTTTGAGGGATGAAATCGAGTCTTTAGTTGTTGATTTTCTTGGTTGGTGGTTTGTATTATATGATTGTGGCAATTGGCATGGTTAAGGTGGTGTAGGCTCTCATTTGGTCAATATGTTTCATTTTATTTCGTGGGAATGTGGTTGACTCGGACAATCCTGGCTATTCTACGAAACTCTCACTGAATAATGGAACCCGTCTCTCTACCATTCTTCACTTAAATACTAGGTTTTGTCTACGGTAATTAGAATCAAACCTGTAACTTTGCCCCTAAACCATACATCACGCGCTACGCTCTTATCACTATAATAACGACCGGAGGCTTACACATAGAAAGATTTTGTCTCAGAAGAAAAAGAGAAACAGATAAACCACACATTCAGTTTCACTTAAGAAGCTGTTTTTTACTCCATTCACAGGTATGATTGCCATCCGGGGATCAAATGATGCCCATCACTTTGTAAATTGTTGAAATTTCAAAATCAATTAATAATTAAAAAAAAAAAAAGATGTAGCATACATTTTGATTGTAACTCAAAAGAAGAAAGCAAAAAATCAAAAACTTGGTATATCCCCCTTGAAACAAATGTGTCAAACCATCATCAGACATGCAGTATATCAACTCAAAGTTGCAGCTTCCATGAATCGTGCAAGCAAAAATGGCGCGCACACTTCAAATACTATGAGGGAAAAAGAAGCTCAACTTAGTTATTTTCACATTGTTCATTTGTTTGTAACCAAAGAGTACAACAACAACAACAACAACTACAACGACCTAGTAAAATCCCACAAAGTTGTAACCAAAGAGTAACAATTGAAATTAATATGGGGCAAACCTGGTCCTGTTAGCATTGAAGAAGGAACTTGCTTTCATGCGGAGGTCAGTTTTGCTTTTCTTTCATCCAGTCTACAAAATTATCCAATATCACAGGCCATGCTTGATCTGTATCATAGTTTTTAAGGTCTGGAAAGCTAATCTGCAAAAAAGTGATGACGACGCCCACCAATTAGTGTTTGAAAAGCCGATTAGTGTTTCTCAAAGCACAAATAACGAAAGTTAACTAGATACATCTATAGGTGCTCCCATATGCGTCTGATCATAGTGCAAAAACAGTTGACAGAAACAAAAGAAGGATGCCAGAAAGTTAAATGAAATCTTTATTTCCGTTAAATTAGCATTTGAATAAAACTACTTGTGTGGTCCTCAAAGTTTGGCCAAAGTTGGAATTTGGTCTCCCTCCTCTAATCATATCACCCTGAATTACATAGTTTGAGATTGGTGTTTAATCAGTGCCTTAGGTCATTGGCAGGCAAATCGAATTCCATTTCTGGTGAAACATAAACTACAATTAGATGAATCACAAGTGCAAAACTGGAAGAAGAATGTCATAATGAATACTGACAAAAAGGAAGGAGAAACCGGAAAAAATGAACTAGGAACCGAGAGGAAGACTTGGAGTATCTTTTTACCATATAAAACACACACACACACAACATGCACGCGCACACGCACACTCTTTGGAAAACTACAGGCTTAAGTGGCATTATTATGAGTTGCCGCGGAAGAAAACAACTAGAGCATCAAGTAAGCTAGAAGGAGCTATACAGCAAAAATAGTTTACCTCTTGGCAAAATCGAAGAAAATTCGTCCATTGATCCATGTTGATAACTTTATAATCAGTCTGATTCTAGTATGACGGAAAATACAGAGAATCAGTGCTTTCAAATAAATTAATGAAACCTAAAGACTAACATCATTTTCATAACAATATAAAAGCCTAAACTATAGGATCCTTCAAGCAATTATATGAAGAGTTAAGCCTCTGAACCTAGGCACATTTCATTATCTATTGGCGTACACTATACAATTTACAAAGGTGAGTACTTACCTTGAGAAACTCAGTGAATGAGTCGACCTGACTCCGGAATTGGGACCCCAGAACAAGGTCAATCAGTAGACAAATGCTCTCAATGTCCACACACTTCTGCTTATCCTCTGCGAAAGACAAACCAGGCACATGTTAGTAGTGGATCAGCTAAATCAAGAGTTATGCACCATAAACGTCAAATAAAATATGAAACCTACTAGGCTAAAAAATTGCCTCTCAAAGAGACGTTTTACCGGTAAGGCAGTAACGAAAAGCGTAGCAATAAAAATCCTCAAAGTTTTCAGGCATCATGACCTGGATATGCAAATGAACCAAGCTCACCATTACGAATCTTGAAATCAGCCCAGCTAAGTTACTAAAGAGAGTTGACAATAACATACCTCTGCTTCCAATTTTGGCAGCACTTTTTTCAATTTGTTAATAGTATCAACCCCGAGATCTTTTAATCCTCTTTGCCATTCATCCTGACAATTGGAAAAGAGATCCCCGACACATAGAGAGAACTAGATTAGTCACTGAGGAAGAATGCACCAAGAGCATATCAAGGATTAAAAGCAAAAAGCCAAAACCAACTCAGATGAGAATTTAGTTGAATCAACAGAAAGAACAAACAAAATATAGGCAATCACAAAAGAACCAAATGCCAGACAATTCCAATGATACAGCATCCGTATGAATACATCACAAAAATAAAACATATTGAAATGGTTTATAGTCAAAAGAAAGCTGAACAAATAAAGAGCAGTAACTTACCTGAGTAAAATATCCCTGCTTTTCGGCTTTCATTTTCCTGATCCATGTGAATGGTCAGTCATGTATTACAGAAACACAACATTTCCTTAAATAACGACTGATCACAGAGCACATATTGGCAGCAGATGGCTTACCAAGCGAGCATCAAAATTCTGACATTAGTATGATCCACTCCTAGATCTGAGCATAGTGCCTCAATCCCCTCTGGACTGTGAAACAAAATATATAGAAACTCAATGAAGATTCCAACATTCTTTACGCCTCTTGTCAACACGCATATGCAAAGCTAGGTAAGTTTCAAATGTTAACTAAAAGATAGCGATGACACAATCTACCTCTGATACCATAATTGCAATCAATTGTTAAAACTTCATTCATAAATTTATCATATCTCAGTTAAATGCTAGGATTAAAGAAAGAAATACTAGATAAGAGGTAATTCTGATATTCTTTTTACTATCAGCTAATGCCTAGTTGACTGGACCAACAACTACTTGGTCTGAGTGGACCATAGTAATGTTGCTAATCAAGAACATCTATTTTAGGTAATCTTGGTTTCACAAAATTGGGAATCAAATCAATCGACTTCCAAAAAAATCCTAAGACAACAACAACAACAACAACCCAGTCAAATCCCACAAGTGGGGTCTGGGGAGGGTAGTGTGTACGTAGACCTTATCCCTACCCCGAAGGGGTAGAGAGGCTGTTTCCGAAAGACCCTCGGCTCAAGATAATAAAAAAACAAAAGGAGAGAATATTAGATTCACCACGGAGATCATAGGGAAAAAGGAACATAAAATGCAGAAGAAAAATGCAAAGCAAAAACGATAATTAGTAAATGGATCATGCGTCGAAAATAGAAAATAGTATGACACGACATTGCCCCTAGACAAAACCCCACCGGACTAGGCTCACAAAGGTACAAAATAACGTAAGACTCAACTGTCTCCTAGCCTACAACCGTAATACTCGACCTCCACAACTTCCTATCAAGTGTCATGTCCTCGGAAATCTGAAGCCTCGCCATATCCTGCCTGATCACCTCTCCCCAATACATCTTAGGCCTCTCTCTACCTCTTCTCGTGCCTTCCACAACCAGCCGCTCACACCTCCTTACTGGAGCATCAGGGCTTCTCCTCTGTATATGCCCGAACCATCTGAGTCTCGCTTACCGCATCTTGTCATCAATGGGGGCCACGTGCACCTTCTCCCGAATATCATCACTCCTAATTTTATCCATCCTAGTGTGCCCGCACATCCACCTCAACATCCTCACTTCTGCTACTTTCATCTTTTGGATATGTGAGTTCTTCACAGGCCAACACTCAGCCCCATACATCATGGCCGGTCTAACCACCGCTTTATAGAACTTACCTTTGAGTATCGTTGGCACTCTCTTGTCACACAAGACTCCAGATGCTAACCTCCACTTCATCCATCCTACCCCAATACGGTGTGTGACATCCTCGTCGATCTCCCCTCCCTCGTGGATAACCGAACCAAGGTACTTGAAGCTGCCTCTACTTGGGATAACCTGTGACTCAAGCCTCACATCCACGTCCAAAGAATGACGTAATTATCAGTTGTTGCTTCCGTCAAAACTAAGTACTTAAGGGCCGGTAAATTATCGTGTATCCGTTGTTCGGCTAGGTAAATCATGGATCAAACAATTAGCAAAAGGTGAAATTAGTTTTAAAGTAGAAAAGCTTGGGAAAATAATTTGTAGAATTGCTATATATATGTAACCCTTAAATCACAAAGTCCATGAAAAGAAACATACGAACAATAATTTATCAATTGAAACAAAGGAACTCACTCGATCATGCCTAGCAACTTATTGGCATACTTCTGAAAAAGATTATCAACAGATATTCCGAACTTCGAAGTCTTGCCTAAAGCTGAATAAAACAACGAAATGGTCAGGAAACTATAAGTGAATGCAAAGAACAATATAATTGTAAAATACTAAGAAAGAAGAGAATAAAAATTAAACAAAAATTACAAACATCCAGCTAGAGAAAATTTCTTTCATGGAAAGAGAACTTGTTGAATCAACACATAATACAACATTCATGGTCTTCGACATTGTTAACAAAATTTTATTTAAAAATGAGCAGAATTTGGACCAGAACTTGCAAATTAAGACAGAAAACAATTTTATGCTTATTCCAAACAGAAATGAAATAAACAAGGACCAAACTGTAAGGTGGGACATCCAGAAGTTACATACTCAACATGTTTATACATAACGAAAGAATTTGAGACTACTGAAGCATGATAAATCTCACTTCAAATATAGAGTTAGAACAATTACCAGGAAACAATGTATAGAACGATGCACAGTAAGTAAAATCAACTTTCCACGCTTAGTTTACAAAAGGCACTTTACTTATAGTTCATTAGCTTCCAGCAATCCCATGTGAAGACCAGAACCTAGACTCAAGTGCCATATCTAGTGTTCTACAAGGGTGTTTTTGGATATCATTAACCTCAAACAAGCTATAGAAACTAAAACAGAGTATGGACCTGCATTGTGTAAAAAAGGGCAGTCTATGCGCGGGGTCCGGGGAAAGGCCGCACCACAAGGGTTTATTGTACGCAACCTTACCTTGCATTTCTGCAAGGTTTACAATGGACCTACATTGTGTCCTCGCGCATTTTTATTTACCTAATTTCAAGATTTATTCAAACTGGGGTTTAAGAAAAGCAATGCAGGTTGATCTTACGCTTCCTTCAGATATTACGATCACAATATACATGCATGAACATTTCTTAGATTAGCAAAAGTTTCAACATCCCCTTAATATAGATCAACCATTCAACTAAGACTCATATTCCAAACTGGTTAGGATCGGCACTATGAATTCTCTATATCCATTCATTCAATCCAAACTAGTAGGAGTTAGCTCTATGAATCCTCTATATTCATTCATTTGATCCAAACTAGTTGAAGTCAGTTCTATGAATCCTTTTATGAACGGTATGCCCCATTCGGGCCCATCTCATTCCAATGTCCACAAACACTCACTTGATATAAATGCAAGACGGAAATATTCAGTTAGGCTGTTTCTTGGGACCCAATCCCCATAAGCGAAAAACTTACCTGCATCTGATGTTTACACCAAACCAATAAATGTAAGTAGACACGTGCCTTTCACACACATTTATCACTTAATCATGTTTAAGTGATATACATTCTCACTTAAATTTTTAAGGGCCAAGGTTAAACTGCTTGATTTGGTGTGGGTAAGTATTTACTTACCCAAATACACATTTTCAAAAAAAAAAAAAAGTATAATATCCATCTTATTAAGCAAATCTTAATATTCAAACTACTTTGGTCGATTATAGGAATCCTCTATATTCCTATCCTATAGAGTTAGATACCCAATTGATATTCTTTTTTTTAAGTCCGAGAAACCCACTTGGGGCCAATCCATAGGACCAACCATAGCCTTGGAAACTCAGGAACAATCGCCCCCCTCCTCTACCTCTACCCTTCTCCACTTAAATACCGGACTTGTAGGACTCGAACATATGACCTAAGTTCCCTCAACCTTTGCCACTTGAACTGATCCCTGGGGCCACTAGATACCCAATTGACATTGATGCAACAATAAAAGTTTTTATTCTTTTATATTTCTTGGGACCCAAATCCACAAATACCCATTCAAGTACCAAGAAACAAGATAAATCCAACTCATTAAACAAAATTTGAAATTCAAAAGCTCCCCCACCCCCAATAAAAGAAAGAGCTTTCATCAGCAAGCAAATAAACCCAAAAACACTTAAAATGAACAGTAACTACTGATCACATATACAAGATATGGTACATAGAAAAATGGGGGAAAAGAATTTACCAGAGTTGACAGATTCAGTGCGGGAAGATTTGGCAGAAGTGGATTTGGGTGAGTCAGACTTTCTCTTAGATGCTCGAGGCATTATTGGCAGTACGATTTGAAAGCCTCTTAAGGGGGAATTTGGAGAGGTTTTTGCTTCAGAGAATGTGGAATATATAAACGTATAGGGGTGGGTGGGTTTGTGGGGTAGGTAGGGGGTGGTTAGGCTGTGTACCCACTGGGATGTGTAGAAAAGAGAAGGTTCCACCCACGGTAAAACTAAAAGGACAGAATAGAAGTTGGTGAGAAAGAAAATTATGGGAAGTAAATACGTACCCAAGTACAATTTTAGTAGGCTTTTGGCCATAAGTTTTTGGGTGTCCAAAACTGAAATGATGTATTTTTTGATACAAAATATGTTTATACAATTAAAAGAAATTACATTTTTACATAATATGTAGTATAATATTGTATTTTACTTTAACGAAAAGTTAGCCGTTAAAGTTTTAAAAAATTAATATTTTTATAGGAAAACGCATTATAATACTGCGTTTAAGGAAAACGCAGTATAACTATAATAAAATATAGGGCGGTCCTTCTTCTTCCCCAACTCCACGACAGACTCCATTATTAAAAAAAACACAACCCCACCACTGNGCTTTATGTTATGTTTGCGATTAAATTTGTATGTTATTTTTACCCGGATTGAATTATTAGCCTTGGGACAAAAAATAGTTAAAACTTGATAAATAATTTTTATTGTTAATGAAATTGTTCACAAATATCTTTTATTGTTTTATATGTAATTTTGTGAATGCTATGTTCATATGTTTGTTGTTTTTATTTATTTTAGATTATTTATTTGCTTAAAGAAGAGTGGCTTTTTAGCGTAGTAAAATATAGAGCTTTTTAGCGTAGTAAAATATAGAGCCTTATAGCGTAGTAAAATATAGAGCATTTTAGCGTAGTCAAATTAATTATCCAATTACACTTTACAAAATTAATTATTTAATTTATAAATAAACTAACAAATTAATATATGTTGTCAAATTAAATCAATTATCGAGCCTGGAACCCATAGATAATTACTCTGTCCAATTTTAAAATTAATTATTTTATTTATAAAACTAACAAAATTCTAAAAATGTTGAAATTTGACACACATAATAATTAAGGATAGCTTGGTGCTACTGGGCCTCAAATATCGAGCCTGGAACACATAGATAATTACTCTGTCCAATTATAAAATTGATTATTTAATTTATTATAACACACAAAATTCTAAAAATATTGAAATTGACACACATAATAATTAAGGATAGCTTAGTGCTATTGGGCCTCAAATATTGAGCCTGGTACCCATAGATAATTACTCTGTCCAATTACAAAATTAATTATTTTATTTATAAAATTAACAAAATTATAAAAATGTTGAAATTGACACACATAATAATTAAGGATAGCTTGGTGCTACTGGGCCTCAAATATCGAGCCTGGAACCCATAGATAATTACTTTGTCCAATTATAAAATTAATTATTTAATTTATTATAACACAAACACACAATTAATATTGTTTAAATTATAGTAGACGACATGGACTTGCCACATGTGCATCCTGGACCAGCGGCAGATCAGGTATTAGTGTTACAGGGTGAGCATAGGTCCTCCTATGTATGGGAGGGACATCTATTGGATTAGACTCTCCGCGCCAGGAGACCGGACGACTTGTGGGACTTTTTGAGGGAGAGAGTTTTCCATGCCCGTGTAGTCCATCGCCTGCGTGCAACGGGCTTCCTTAGGATTTTTGAGATTGGGCAGATGCAGCTCGACTGGTCTCTTAACATGGCGTTGATAGAGCGGTGGCGACCGGAGACACACACTTTTCACCTGCCCACTGGAGAGGCCACCATCACGCTTCAGGATGTTCAGGTTTTGTATGGGATACGTGTAGATGGACTGGCCGTTGCACTGCCCCAGTATATGAGAGCTATGATGTGTCCCTAGTAGTTGGATTTGCTGGGGCAGTATACTGGTTTCAGACCACAGGGTGAGGCTGCACTTAGAGGGGGCAGTCGTATTTCTGTGACAGCTATCAGAGAGCATATGGAGGTATTGCACCCCGATATTACCGGCGAGACAGAGGATATCCATATTGACCGGTACACGAGATTGGCGTTGTTCCTTCTTTTTGGGGTGTCTTGTTCCCGAACACTTCGGGAAATCTAGTGAGTATGCGCTTTCTCCATCATCTACAGCAGCTAGATGAGTTACCCCAGTACAGCTGGGGTGCTGCTATTCTAGCATACCTGTACAAGAGTATGTGCCGAGCGAGCATGGGCACCCAGGTGGACATATATGGTTTTCTGCCGCTTCTACAGGTGACAACATTTTCGAATACTCTGTTCATTACTCCGAGTTCTATATAGTCAAAATGACTCTGAAATTTTACATCAACCTTTTAACTTAGGTTTGGGCCTGGCAGCGGATCCTGCCATTATAGCTACCTCTACCACCACTAGAGCCGGGTGTAGCACCTTCGTTTCTCCCTCTAGCTACGAGGTGGGTTCTCCGGCGTGGGAACTACCAAGGGACTGATGCTCATCATAATCTCCCCCTTGTCAGGGATGTGTTAGATATGCTGGTGGCCGAATAGGTAAATATGTACCTAAACTTACTTGTTATAAATTCACTTGTGTTGCGCATACTCACTTTTATGTATTATTTGATAGTTCATCTGGACGCCATACAGCGACGAGTTACTAGCTCAGCTGCCCGATTATTACTCAGTCGACCGACTGCTTTAGAGCACTTCCGTCCCGATGATCTTCTTCGATGTGGTGGAGCATCATACCACAGAGTGTGTGCTTCGCCAGTTTCACCGTCCCCAGACTATACCAGGGGAGCCTGCATGGGTGCCTACACATTATCAGCGGGATGACCATACCAGGGTGGACGATGAATTTGTAGGATGGCTAGAGCAGCAGGTCCATATTTGAGACCAGCGAGAGTACCATATTACGCCACCACCTTCATATATCCAGGAGGCCACTATTGAGCTGTATACTTCATGGTACCGCCGTCACATCCGACTAATGATCGGGAACACCATTCATGTACTTGGCGATCGGTACAGACCATACGCCGGGAGGCACGAGGCACTAGTATATTTTTGTGGCTTATTAATATCTTATAATTGTGATTTAGCGTTATTTAATTAATACTTTAAATGCTGCGCAGGCTATTGGGCATCACATGTTCTACCAGTTGGGACAGGAGATGCATCAGCATGGCGACAATGCTGCAGTCGTTGGGTATGGCCGGCGGGTGGAAGAGCTGGCTCGTCGGATCCTGTATCAAGCGAGAGATGGCACGAAGCTGAGTATGCGGTGCCAGAGGAGTACCATCGGGGTAGGTTTGTCTCACGAGGCAGGGGTAGGTCATGAGGCAAGGCTATTCTACGAGGTAGGGGTACCCCACGGGGTCGCGGGGATGGCGAGGAGGTGGTCCCCAGCAAGGGGGCGTTGAGACACCTGTCGACCCACCTGTTGAGGTACATGATGAGGATCTTGGAGATGATCAGTAGGGTTATTTCCCTCAGCTAGATGAGCCTTCCAGCAGCATATCGTCGTACAGCCTTCAGCTATCTCTGCCAGCATCGCAGGTCACCCCGTCAGATACATTGTTGATCACGGGTACATTCGACGGAGATGTAGACCAGTTCTTTTTAGGCCCATCCACCGCAGCTGAGAATCGGCCGACCCGAGACGTGGATGGCGGGTGCAGGTTGAGTTATGCCTCATCCCCGGCGATTGATGCGGATCTACCACAGGCGCAAGTATGTTTGTATTACTATAAAATTTCAATTTGTTTTCTTTTCCTTAATGATATGCCATAAATTAATTTTTAATTTTCTTATTAAGGCTTCGTCCCAGCCCATCATGGAGGCCACTGTATGCGCTGATGAGGACACTACGGATGCATATACTCAGGAGGCCGACGAGACCATGGTGAGAAAATGTTTTTGACTTAACACGTACAATACTAGTATACATTTTCACATGCTAAGCTTCGTACTTGTTTTGTAGGTTGCTGACGGCCCAACGACCTCTTCTACCGATCCTGCCAGTTATATTGTCGATGCTGCTGCGCATCCTCACATAAAGAGGCGACTTGATGATGATGATCCCGATAGTGTACCCGGGCGACAGGGGATGCGACTCAGGCCAGCAGCAGCACTGAAGCACACAGGTTGCGGGACTCATTGATTTACTTTTGTTTGTACTTTGTGTAAATACTATATTATATAAATAATGGCAACAATTCTGTCTTAACAATAATTTTATTTTAACTGCGGTTGAACAACAATTTTATTTTAACAGTACAACACAAACACAAACATAGCAAACCTAACACAACACAAACAGTACAACTAATGAAAACACTTGACAAGGGAAACATAAAGATACACTACTATGCTCAACACGTACATGCCATTGTTTAGTCACGACCGCCTAGTATTCTCTACTCCAACCACTTGAGATGGTCTTCCAGCTTTTTTTTCTCTTCTTCCACCTCCTTGAGTTTCGCCTTCAACTCCGTAATTTCTTGCTTGGATTGGCGCTCTCTGTCCCACTGCCTCGATCACACATTATGAAGATGATACAACTTGTCTTTGTAGTATTCCTGCTCACATAGTTCATCAATCCATACCTCAAAATTGCATGTAGGTACGTCGGGTTGCCTATAAAACTTGTTCATACACGCCCAGTAGCGGCATTCAGCTTCTTCCCAACAATCGTACATCATGCTTTTGTTTATGCAGTCACACCTTGGGACATAAAGGGGTTGTTGAGACATTTCTTAAAGAAAAACTTTGGTTTTATGGAAATACTTGCTATAGGTTGTTGTTAAGCGCAGAAAATAACTAGAATGCGCCCGTTATTTATAGGCAAGATTTCACATAAAACGTAGTATTATACCACGCTTTACATATTAAATTTTTCTGAAACAAAACAGTTTTTTCACATGGTTTTCAGCTTTTTCAGAAAGCCAAGACAACTCACAAAACGTAGTATTATACCACGCTTTACATATTAAATTTTTCTGAAACAAAACAGTTTTTTCACATGGTTTTCAGCTTTTTCAGAAAGCCAAG